CCCCAAAACCCCAAAACCCCAAAACCCCTATGTTAAATGATAAACAATATTTGGGGTAATATATAAAAAATAATTTTTGAAAAATGCAAATATTGAGGCTATGAGAATTAAGTGATATATTAAACATTACAGAACAACTTATAGCCTAGATATTTAGTTATATTTTAATTGTGCGAATAAAAATTTGACTTTAATTATGAGAAAAGATGAGTATTCAACGGAGTTTACTTGCTGTAATCTAGGTATCTGGATTGAATTCAGAAATTTTATTATTTGCAGCTTTTTGTTTGGATGCTTTGGTACTATCCAAAAAGCTTGTTTTTCTTCTCTTTAAGGGCATTTTATTCTCATCTTACTCAGAAAATAGACTACTTCTTTGTCTTTTGATGCCTATTGAAGGATGAAGACTACTTCTCTCAGCTGATCTATCAAACAAGCTCACAGGAGCTATACTTGTTCTTTAAGCTGAGTTTCTATATTACTCAGTTTCAAAAATGTTAGTAATATTTCTTAGTATAGTTCTATTTGTTAGACTTTTCCTATTGTTATAGCATTTCCTCTTTGTTTTGCTATCATAAATACTAAACTAGGAAGTTTAAGTAGCATTTCCTTCCATATTGAATCCTGAATTACTTAGAGCTGTTGTAGTCTAAGTGTAGTTTGACAAGTCTTTTTTGAAGCAGCAGTGCTTTTTATAAGAAGCAGTTTCTTATCTATATCTACTCTTTATCTTCAAGTACCTGCGACTACAACTTCCTGACCTAAAAGGAGTCACATTACTCTATGATTATTTTTAGCTTGTCTAGGTTCTTAAGAATTCACTGTATTTTCTCTTTTTAGAAGTTTTAAGGCTCACGCAAGTCATCTAGACGTTTTATAACTTCAAGTTTTCATTCCCAGGGGATAACTATGTGTTCTGTGATGTCTTCAATATTAAATATTGTGGTAAATCGATTACTGGCTCACTATATGGAATAAGCGGACTTCCTGGGACTTTAATTTTGTCAGATGAGGCTGAAAGTTGCTTATTCGAGTGTCTATCCAGCCATTCTTATTCAATATCATATAATTTCTCCAATTTAAGTTCCTCTGAAATCTACAAGCTTAAATTTGGTCTTTTTCTCTCGTATTTTTTACTTGGTTGAGTGAAAATGAAGTTTTCAGACTGTTGACTTGATTTTTCTTCTTATTCTTAGCTTGCCATCGTTTAATTGTAAATTTGTATTTAAAATTATATACACTAATCAACAACTAATCTATAATATAATTGGCCCTTATGGGGTTTTGGGGTTTTGGGGTTTTGGGGTTTTGGGG